TTCAAATTTTCAAAAACTCAGAAAAACAAAAGAAGCCAAATGGCGAGCTCTTTCATGTAAAAGCTTCCAGATACTTATTAGACTCAGTTAGAGACTCATGAAAGAATGCTGTAAACTTTTGAATATTTTGAGCAATAAATTACATAAAAAGTATAAAACAAAAGTAATAAAACAAGAATGAAAACAAGGGACTTTTGGTAAAGCGAAACTTGTTGCGAACTTATGGCTCGCTAGCTACTCTGTACTTCCGTTTTCGCTGCGTAGATGTAGTTATTCATAAAAGCGGTCAGTGTGGGAAAGCGGGTGAGTGATTTAAGCGAAAAATGTAGAAGGACTGAACATGAACGTAAAAAATACCAAAACGAGGGTAAAATATGAAAGCGTAGGAAAATTTGTAACGACTGGGAGAAATGGCAGCCTTACCGTTCTGTTCAGGCCAGTCCACTGCATTTGGCAGCCAGGAACGGTTATGTGGATCTTGTGAGGTTTCTAGTTGAGGAAAATGTTGACGTAAATGCAAAAGATGAGTTTCAGGTAAAATTTTTTATTTCTTCTATTTCTGATTATTATTTGAAAACCCATATTTAACTCTTCGAATTTTCGAAGGAATGCGAACAGGAAAGAAGCGAAATGGCTGGTGTTCCCACGTACAAGCTCTTGCATGCTTACTAGATTTATTGAGGAATTCATGAAACAACAGCCTTGTGAAGTTCCGAATATTTTGAGCAATTAAATACATGAGAAAGTATGAAACAAAAGTAATAAAACAAGAATGAAATTAAAGGAGTTTTGCTGCAACAAAACTTATTCCGGATGTACTTCTTGCTGGCTGCTCTGCTCTTCCGTTTTCGCAGAGAAACGTCTACTGCATAGTTGAAGTTTACCGTAATTTAGGTTAGGAAAGGAAACAAATGACTGATTTATTCAGAGGTATGAAGAGGATGAACACTGAATTTACAAACACTACCATAAGAAGCAATAAAATTAGACTCAGAAAAGTGTGTCAAAATTGGAGACCAAATGTAGTTTAACTATTCGGTTTAGATAACTCCGTTACATGCGGCATCCGAGAACGGTTATCTTGACGTTGTGGAGTTTCTGATTAAGAAAGGAGCTGAAGTTAATGCAGAAGATGAATCTCAGGTAAAGTTTATTCTTGAGAAGCGTTAAACTATTTTGTGTTTTTCCACTTTTTTTGGAGAACTTTTATTTTATTAGTAAAGTTTTCTAAAATGCGGATTTGAAAAATTGATCAAATAATCGGGTTGTTGAGTTGAAATCGGTGACAAAATTAAAATTAATTTAATCAATCTTCTTAGACGACTCCTCTGCATTGTGCATCGGCGAAAGGTCACATAGGTGTCGCCATGATTTTGGCAGAACATGATGCCGATATAGCTATAGAGAACAAGGATAAGGTAAATTTATTCTCAAAAAAAAACTTAACTGTTCACTCATCTTACAGAAAAACTTGTATGTCACTGCTAAACGTTTTTGAGATTCATCTTTATCTAGGGATGTGAATGACAATTTTATTTAAACTAGGTTTTATTGGGTAGTGGTTTTGACAAAGCTACCAAAAAATTTATTGGCAATTTGAGAGGTGAAAGAGTGGCGTGAAATGGTTTTTCTTATTTGAAGGTGTAAAGTATGCTTGTTTAAAGTTCAAAAAATATTGGCGAATTAGTAAAAAGTAACGGGAAATAAGCGAAATTTGCATTCATGCTTTTGGTTGACAGTAAAGTGTGAGCAGTTTTGTGGTTGATTTTACTAATATTCATATGTATATAAGACATATTTAAAGCTTATCAACAAGTTGTGGTTTTACAAAAGAGTCTGTAGTCGCTTATTATTCACAGAAAGTGTAGGTTGCACTTTTCAATACTTCTGATTCTTCTTTCTTCTTATTCTCTTTTCGACTTCGCAAAGACGGCAAAAAGTGATTGCTGAAGAATTTAAGTGTTTTTGATTGTTTTTCGCAACTTTTTGCAAAGAATAATTGCAGATTGAAGGGCGGGGGATGAAGTGAAAAAAGAAAAATCGAAAAAAGCGAAGCTGTGTAAAAACATGACGTTTTGATTTTTTTCCTCTTTTTTTTTTTTTACAGCTTACTGCAAAAGAGGTTGCAAAAAACAATTCTCATGATGATATTGCTAAATTTCTTGTTCGACTCGAAACACAACGACGATTAGGTTTCTTATTTATCTTTTTAATTATAACTTATTTACTATCATCAACTTTTTAAGAACTAACTTATAATGAGTATTAGCTTTGACGTCGTGTATTTTAAAAACTACAGCTATAAACTGGTTATTGTTTCTCTAAGGGTTTTTTATTGGTGTATGATATAAATATTGGATTTAAGGTGATAAGGCACTACCGCATGAGGATATCTCAATTGTGGAAAAGATAGGAAGTGGCGCTCAAAGTGAAGTATTTAAGGGTCAATTTAAAGATGAAGTAGTCGCTGTAAAACAAGTGCTAAAGAAGGAGGAGGAAAACATTTCTGACCTACGTCATTTCTATCACCCAAATTTGATTTTTATTTTGTTAGTTTTGTACATATTTCGCTTTTACTTAAAGTTTTTATTTGAATAGAGTTTGCCAAAAAGAGACTGAAGCGTAAGCTCAATCACTGGGGAGCTTCGAACAAGTGCGAGGGTGCTTAGTTGGTTGAGAAAAATAAATTTGCAGTGGATTTTCTACGGTAAAAATGAGCAAGTACTGTTTAATGGAATACTGTGAACGAGGATCACTGAAAAAACAGATTTATAACGATGAAAGAATTCAAAAAGAAACATTCATTGACTGGGGACAGGGAACTGCTGAAGGAATGAAATACTTGCACTCAAAGCGGATAATTCATCGGGATTTGAAAACTGACAAGTAAGTTTTGACTTCTGACTTTTCTGCGGCACCTAGAATTTGTTTTCATAAGAAGCACTTCAGCATCCTTCTTGGAGACGACGGCAATCCAAAAATTTGCGATTTTGGTCTTGCTCGAAAGTGGGGCTTTTATAAAAACAAAAAAAGCGAAAAAATGACCGAATGTGGTACTCGGCGCTACATGGCTCCAGAAATACTAAAAGGAGAGGAATATTCTGAGAAGGTTGGAGTCAGATTTATGAGCGTAAAATACATTCTGACTTTGACTTTTTTCAATAATTGAAGTCGTAAGTTTTAAAACATAAAATACACCTTCTATTCATTATTAATTTTTTAACGCATGCGTTACGTGCTTGCAGGTCGATATGTGGAGTTTCGGAACGGTAATATGGGAACTTCTCGTCAAACAAGAACTTTATATCAACTTATCTTCATATCAGCTTGCTCTGAAAGCTCAAGCAGAGTTTGTTTAGACGAATGTCTTTTTGTTGGACTTTTGTTAGAATAAAAACAGTTAAAGCAATTATTACTATTATACCGTTTGTGAAAAATGTAACAGTTTTACAGTACTTTGGCAGCTCCTTTACCGGATGATTTACCACCTGAAGTGGAAAAACTATTAGAGAGCTGTTTTAACACAAATCCTGCTCAACGACCAACGTTTGAACAAATTGTGAAAATCTTTTTTTCTTTGCGAGTAAATTTTATGACACTTACTTTTTTTCTTTATTTTTTTATTCAGAAAATTAAAGATACTGGTTTATTTGGTCAACGAGAAAAATACTTGAATTATTGGACTTATATATTACTAAAAATATTGCAGAATAGTCAGTCTTTTAAACGAATTGGTGACGACGAGTGGGACCAGTTAGTCTCTTCCTGGAATTCATTTGCAAAAAAAATGATGAAAGAAGAGAAAGAAAAAATGGATGAAATGGTGAAACAAGAAAGTGTAAATGATACAACTTCCGATACCGTAAGTACATAAGAAAATATTAAAGATCCTGAAAATATTTTTTATTTATTAGTTTTTACACAGTGATATTACCTTTCGTTAGTATAAATTTTTTTAGTATAACACTTTAATAAATTTTATAATAGCAATACTAACTGCCTGTATTCAGGAAGACGATAACGATGGCTGTAGTAGCGACGGCACATTTTACGTGGACTAACAGTTACAAAAGTGATAGCAAAAAATAATATCTTCATTCTCTTACCTTGAGAGCTGACAGTTGTACAGCAACGACAGTGCTAGAACAACAACTTATGAACTTTTATGAAGGGAAGGGACAATCAAAGAATAAATCGTCAGAAAAATCAATTATTCGTGGTTTCAACAGCCATAAAATTCTTCATGAACAATTTTACGTATTTATTTATTCTTAGTTAGGCTAAAAATTAGAGTCTTTAGAAGATGGAAAAACGAACTGTAAAAAAAAAAAAAAAACAAATGAACCACAAAAAAAGTCCTAATTAGAACAACAATACTGCCATCGCAAAAAAAGTATTGTTTTCTTGTCACTGGTTTTGCAGCATTTTTTCACAAAAACCAAAGTTTTTCTGTGTTATCAGCTTTACAGCAAATTAATTCAACCAATATCCAACTACTTTTTTTTTTTGCACAGCCGATTTGTAGAAAGATGACGCTGCATTCGTAAAACTGTGTCAAGTATTCGCCAAAACGTGTAAACTTTGTCAGCTCGCTACATGTGATGTTCTCCTTCATTTTTTTACGTTGCAATTCAAAGTTTTGGGAAAAACCGCTAACCTTCAATAAGGATCCCTTAGCTTAATCATACAGCTTTTTATTTACTTGTACTTAAATTGTTTATGTTAAACTCTTAGATGGTTTTGTTTCAAAAAAAAAAAAAAA